TCATCGTTCTTCTGAACAACATCATCAACAACACAAAGTACATAAAGTCAGGGAACAAAACTCTATCAAAATCATTCACTTGTGATATACATCTCCACAATCTCATAAAATAAATATTTACGCCCCCCCCCCAAATGCCCTGGTACGGCCGAGAGTGGGGAGAGTCCTGTCTGTTACTCTAAATGCTCTTACATGGCCACGCGTATACAGCCACTGGTAGGGAAGTTCTACTTATTTCCTTCTTGAGACAGAGCTTCTGTGAGTGATAAAATCATTTCACGTATAATGAAGACTAGAGTGGTTTGTGCCAATCAAAGTTATCTTTGCCGCCTTTGTGATGTTACTCTGGTTGTAAAAGGTTGAATCTTCAACCCGTTGGTGAGAGTAGTTTTACTCTATGCTTGTGAGACCTGGCGTCTCCGAGTTGAAGATGTTAAAAGATTCTCTTTATTTGATCATCGTTTTCTCCGAAGGACTGATGACATCCAGTACCAACATCATGTTAGTATTGCAGGGGTTCAAGGATCATAGAGATGGTACAACACAGTGTCTTGTGACGTTATTAGATATGTCAGATTAGAAGCCAGTGATGATCCTATTTTAACTTTCTCTTACTGTCTTTAGCTGGAAGAATTCTTTCTGATTGTACCTTTGTTAACTGAACTGCTTCTCCAAATATTATTTCACTATCATACTAATTTCTCTTCGTTTGTAATATAATTAGCTTAAGCAAAATGTTTTAAATTTGCTTTCAGTTTAAAAATTAAGTTTAAATCATAATTGATATGACTGTGTAGTGAACAAGTAGCACACACCACAACTGCACTGTAAAATGTACGCAATGTAATTGTATAAATGATTAGATCTGGACAAACAGGGTAAACAATTTACTCTAATGAGTAGGGAGAGTCCGCTCTCCCTCTCGAAATGCTCTCACATAGCCACGCGTATATAGCCTCTGCCAGGGAAGTCCTACTCACTGCCTTCTCGCACCACGGGTGTTGTTCACGAAAATGAGAGGACGAAAAGCGAATGTCCGGCGCTTTAACGGGATCCCAAACCAATGGTGCACATAGGCTGGCTCCAGTATCCTGAAGGAACAAATGGCGTATGAACCAATCGTTGGTCACCGACTACCATGGGACTGCATCTCCTCACGATGCTCCACTGCTTTGTGGGTCAGACCTTTAGGTCAAAGGCTCGGGGTGTGGCCCCCTAAGAAAACCACCTGCTTCGGTTTTGGTACCCGTGCAATATCACAGCCCTCACACATATCAATTGAGATTCGTGTGGCGCATATGTATTTGGTGCCTTCTTGTACCAATACCTATGTGTTAAAATAAATAATAATAAATAATTTAAGTTAGTTGCTTCAATACTGTTCCGATTTATTTATTTGAACACATAGATATTGGTACAAGGGGGCACCAGATATATATCCGCCATACAAATCTCAATTGATTTATGTGAGGGATGTGATACTGCCCAGGTGACCGAACCGAAGCAGGTGGTTTTTTTAAGTGGGCCACACCCTGAGCCTTCGACCTAAAGGTCTGATCCACACTTCAGTGGAGCATCGTAAGGAGATGCAGTCACATGTTAGCCAGTGATCAACAATTGGTTCAATACTATTCAGTAAACGATCATACGCGTACATATGAATTAATGACCAATAATACCTTTTATGATGTTACATATACTCATCAACACAAGCAATTAATCTCTTTTATAAATTTCTATAGAACATTGAGATCAACAATTAGATCAACTTTGTCTTCTCATTGTTCTATCGAAATATCAGTATATTTAATCACAAAGATAAAGTCAATGTAATTTAATTGTGACTAAATTATTTATTTATAATTAAGATATTTTCAGATCAAGAGCTAGTCAAAATTCAATCTGCTCATTGGATCAATAGAGAAACACCTCAATATGAATTCGAATGAAATCTGTTAAATATTAATGAAATGAGCACTAATGTATAAAGTTTTTCTCAATTTATAAAAACATTCATTTCACTACTTACTTACTTACTTACCTAGGCCTGTTACTCCTAGTGGAGCATAGGCTGCCAACCAGCATTCTCCAACCCACTCTACCTTGGTCCTTCTTTTGCAGTTCTATTCAATTTTTGTTCATTTTTCACATGTCTATCTCCATTTCCTAATGTAACATGTTCTTTGGTCTTCCTCTTTTCCTTTGGCTTTGAAGATTCCATGTGAGGGCTTGTCTTGTGACGCATTTCGGTGCTTTCCTCAATGTGTGTCAGCGCTTCTTCCTCCGCTGGGATCTGGTTTGTTCTCTCCCATAGTACGTTGTTGCTGATAGTGTCTGGCCAACGGATCCAAAGTATTTTGCATAGACAACTGTTAATAAACACCTGTATCTTTTGGACGATGGATTTCGTAGTTTTCCAGGTTTCCGCGCCATACAGTAGAACTGTCTTGACATTTGTATTGAAAATTCTGACTTTGGTGTTGGTTTCTAATTGTTTTGAGTTCCAGATATTCTTCAGTTGTAGATATGCTGCTCTTGCTTTGCCAATCCGTGCCTTCACATCTGCATCAGATCCACCGTGTTCATCGATGATACTGCCCAAATATGTAAAGGTTTTTACATCTTCCAAAGCTTCTCCGTCAATTGTGATTGGATTGGTACATGCTGTGTTGTATCGAAGAATCTTGCTTTTCCCTTTGTGCATATTGAGACCTATTGCTGCTGAGGCTGCAGCTACACTGGTTGTCTTCTCCTGCATTTGTTGTTGCGTTTCACTACAGAGTAAATAAAAGTTAACATTCGTATAGTTCATTGTGATTTTATACTGTCCAATTCTTCCTAGTTTTTTTATGGTGATCTAGCTTCAATTAACTGATGATCTCAACTATTTGAATTACTATTAACATTCACAATACACCCCTTCTGATAAATAATTTATTGTATTTTAATATATTTGTATATTGAATATGAACATTGTGAAATTTAATATCAGAAGGGGTTTTGTGGAAATTGTGGTAATTTCAATGGGTAAGATCATGAGTCGGTTGAAGCTAGACCATCATGGAAAACCTGGAAGCATTGGACGGCCGTTTCGCCCTATTGTGGGACTCCTCAGCAGTGCGCATCTACGACCTCGCCCTCCTGAAGATTCGAACCCAGAACCTACTGGTTTCGCGTGCGAGCACTTGACTACTAGACCACTGAGCCGGCATCCAACGGTGTTAATGTCTCACTTCAACTAATCCACGAAATTGAGCGGTCTAGCTTCAACTGAACCATGATCTTAACCATTAAAATTACTACAATCTCCACAAAACCCCTTCTGATATTAATCAACATATGCTCACTAGTGACTGGCTTCAAGAGGTATATCCTGGAGTTCTAGTGAGAAGTAGTGACCAGTGTAGTTCAACCAGGTCTATTATGACATTTGTTATATCGTGATAAGCTTAATGAATGGTAACTTTTGGGATCTGTTTATGGACCAATACTATGTGCATATTTTCATCGTATAATTGTTAAATAACTAAACTATTCATATTCATGTCTATCTTATTATGAGCTTTATTTTGATCTATGAACTATTATTATAAGATTTACCGTTCTTGAGTAATGTCCTGTCTATTAATTACAGTCTCCCACATTCACAGTCACATTTGGCTAGATCTTGTACAAATGTTGTTTCCTATTTCATTGCACGATGTGGTCTGTTTTGGTTGCTATATGAACCCAGTATGTTTAAAATATACGATTCAAACTGTGGAGACTGAGATTTGTGTTCAGGACTGTAACAGCTAAAGCTAGGCCTGGAAGTAAGACCGTCATTGGTCCGATCGATAATTCACTGCTCTCTAATTGGTGGTATCATTACGTTATACATTAACAGGGCATAGAGGCCACAAGTTATAAGACATTCTTCTTAAACAAAAAGCATTCTGTTGATGTTGTCAATCAATATATTTCTTTAATTTGAATAGAAATCTATGGTTTATTAATCTAAATGTATTATTACATAACCACCCACTGAGTTAACTAACACCTCTTATTTAACATCTATTTTACATTTTGTTATGGATTTATTTTTGTTTTTCAAAATTCCCGTTGTCAATTATTTTGTCCTTAGTTGATACGATTAACGACAATACAATTGCTAAATTTAGATACGTGTACTCATATGACCAAAAAAATGATGCATACACCTAAAGGAACAACCTGGAGTCCTAATTGGCACTTTCCTCTTACCTGTTATATCCAGAATACCGATTTCAGCCTCCACTATATGAATTATATATTTCAAACATACTTGGATTATATTCAAGGCAAACAGACTACAACAGATCATAAAATAGAAAATAACTATTGTATATGATCAAGTCAAAAAATGGTTGTGATTCTGAGAGATTGTAATTAATAAACTTGTTATAGTTTAAGCATAGTAAATTGTATAATAATAGTCTATGAGTCAAATGTAAGCTGATAATGTAGTGAATAGAACACGATTGGAGATAATTAAATGTATTTGACATGAAATTACAAAGCATTTCAATAAAATCTGAGAACTATATATAGTAAATCATTAATTTGAAAAATATCAATCCATCATCTTAAACTTAGCTGTTCGTGTTGCAAACATTAATCCATTGTTTTTAGCTTTCATTGTTCATGCGTTTTCATACCAATTGTGTTCCGTTCCCGTTCTTTCCTTATCGATCTTCTACTGAAGTACATTCTATGTCTGACCCCCGTTACATACTACTTATGTGGATATAAGTAACCCATAACATAATAATAAAAGGAATATGAATATACACATACTATAGTTACTTAATATTTTTACAATAACAATATACGTATTATATCAGTCCATAAATAGATCCCATTAGTTACCATTCATTATTCTCGCCGAGAATAGATACTACTTATTTTAATTCAGTAGATAAAATGTTATTCATTTAATTGAAATAATAAATTACATTTCAAAATTTTTATTATTTTATCAGATGTATAATATGTATGTGTGAATATGAAGAAGGTGAAGAACTACGTTATCTTCCATGTTTACATACATATCATCGTGTATGTATTGATGATTGGTTAATGCGTGCATTAACATGTCCTTCATGTTTAGAAGAGATACGTCCTAATTCACCAGTAAAAATTCGTTCGAATATTATTAGTCAAAATACTATTAATAATAATAATAATAATAATAATAATAATAATAATAATAATGATAATAATAATAATAATAATAATAATGAATCATCAGAGAATAATAATGTTTCACATAGAAATGGTAATTCTGTGCCTACTTCTTGTCATCAACAACAACAACAACATAATAATAATAATAGTAATAATAATAATAGTCAATCAACTCATGAATATAATAATAGAAGAACTAGTATTACTGAACGACGTTCTAGAAATGTACAATCATCAAATGTATATACAAATTCAGAAACTGTTCAACGTATAATTCTGGAACGTTTAAAAAATCAGAATAATAATAATAATAATGATACTACTATTGGCGGTGACATATCCAATCGTAATTATAATATTTGTCATATTAGTAGACATCGTCAACATCAACATCATCAATTTCAACAACATCGACGTACACGATCAATTGGTCCTAGTAGAAGATCATCTTCTATAAATACATTCAATATAACATTACCTAATGGTTATCGTCGTGGTAACAGTGTTACAGCAATTGATATGCTTAATTCTGTTATACAAACAACGAATGATAATTTATATTCAATAAATAATAATTATATTTAAACCATGAATTTTCCAGGTTTGAAAAAAATGCATAAAATACTCCACTTTTTTTTATTATTATTAATATTCTCAATTATGAATGGATCAATATTCTAAATGAATATAAGGTAAGTGTTTATTTCTATGGATACTATTAAGCTCATTTTCAAAGTGTATAACATATAATTGGTATTTGATTGAGATCATGAATCGACTGATGCTAGACTACCGTTGGAAACCTGGAAGCACTGGACGGCCGTTTCGTCCTAGTATGGGACTCCTCAGCAGTGCGCATCCACGATCCCGCTCGCGGGATTCGAACCCAGGGCCCTTCAGTCTCGCGCGCGAACGCTTAACCTACTCGACCACTGAGCCGGCATCCAATGGTGTTAGAGTCTAACATCAACCAATAGAAGGATGGAGGTATTCGCATTTCAAAGTTAATATCCACTTTGGAACTTGAACCCAGTACACTTCGCTTTAAACACTATCATATTATCCACTTAACGACTGAGTCCAGATAGCTATATACTTGGACAATGGTATGAATTTTCATGTATATGTATGTATGTATGTATACAAAGAACATGTAATACCATGGTAGTTACAATTAATGTTTTCTATACATCCTATAATCACTCCAAAATTGTTGTATAAATTACTGAGACTATTCACTTTTTTCTGTATCTATCAATTTAACTGCTTTTGTAGAGAAAGTCATGTTGAGAGAAATTCCAAAAAATTTGTATTGTCGTCCTCATGAGAATTTCCTAATGTAGCTAAGTAAAGGCATAGTAAAACTATTAGCAGCTTGATTCAACATCATTCAGTATAATCAGGCAATAAACTCAACATGGACCAAATTTTTACAATAATATATAGCGTTAACAATTAATTTTTTAAAGTTATCCGACTAAGCATTGAAAATGCGAATATTTACTCTTCTCTCTGTTTTCCATTGTATTTTCTATGGTACGTATATATAAATTGGTATATGTAGTTGAATGTACTGAGGAAAGATGACCTATGTAGTTTTTTTCTTTATTTAAAGGAGGAATTCGTTTCGTACAAAGTGATTAGTTTATTCCAGCATATTTATTCTACTTTGTCTTTTAATCTATGATCGGTAAAGTTTCAATTCGTAAAACTTTCTGTCTTCCCTTAAACTATAAGATTAAAATCACTTCAAATCTTTCTTTCTACGTACTAAAACTTTCTTCCTGTACTATATCCTTATATACAATCTTTCTTTTATATATTACCATCATTGAATTAACCACTCCTATGAATCCGGTGTTTATGTTGTTGTGCTAATGCAATATAGCAACTTGAACCGATGTATATATGTGCCTGATCCTACGTGGTACCTGATTGACTGACTGAATTCGTAAAACTGTGATATTTCAATGGTTCCTAACAAAGTGGTTAGTTTTTCATGCAAGCATTACGTATTGCACTCAATCATCACTAGTTTCTTTTTGTATATAGTCACAGTATTGGTAATGTGTAACAGAATGAACGGTATTTTTATTTTCTAATCTTATACGTAATAAATAAGGGTGAACTCAGATTGTAGCATCAAAGTTTCGATATTTTTAACAGGATTTTTTTTTTCAACTATTTGACTTTGTAAAATTAAAAATACACGAATATACACTATCTGAGAAGATCATAACAGGTAATTGGCTTATGTTGGTTGTATTCGATATAGAATAATCACAGTTATGATACTGTTTCATCCTAGCATGATACTCTTCAGTATTATAAACCGATGACCTCTCTTGGAATCGAATTCTGAACGTTCATATTCTCTCGATAAATATTTAACTGTTAGAACCACTTGATCGACATCTCCTGATACAAACTCAACTTCAATCGATTTGCGTTATAACCTTATCGTCATCCAATACAATACTATCATGAAAACTGTTTTATCTGAAACATGTTGTACATTTGCCCTACTGAGAAGCCTCATACTAGGGTGAAACATTTGTTCCATACATTCTAGTTTTCAACATTACTGTTACTCTGGGATTTTTTTTTTCTCTCGTCTTGTTAAATAAAATGATTGACATTTCATTTCACTTCCCTATAGTTAATAACTGCTAATCATAGTTTATAAATTCTTTTCTTTTTCTAGTGTGAATCACGTTATTAAATCATTCAATAACTAGTTATTGGATAATATATTATCTATCTATCTATCTATCTATCTATGTAGTTTTAATCTAATTCAAATAAAACTAGTCCTTCATTTCCTTTAAATTTGTACAGTTATAATCATTCAATGAATTATTTGGGAATGATTACTTGTTTTGACCAGTTTTTATTCCATTCTTCTTCTTCTTCTTCTTTTCCTTCTTCCCTCTCCCGCCCCACTCTCTTCCATCAATCTCTATTCATTTCCAGTAAAGAAAAACAAACAAATTTAGCAGCAATGACATATTCAATTGGCTTTCAATCGATTATTTTATGCTTATTTTTGTGTAAACCTTATTATTATTATTATTATTATTATTATTATTATTATTATTATTATTATTCGAATTGGAGTAATAGTGCATTGGCACTGTTGATTCTCTTTTTTTTGTATTTTTTCGAACAGCAACAGCAACGACGACAACAACAACAACAACAAATGGCTTCATTTTTATCCAAAGAAAGTTTTTTTTTCATAATCAGCATTACTTCTTGTTATTATTGTTGTTATCGTTGTTGTTGTTGTTGTGTGGCTTCTCCTTTCTTTTTTTTTCATTTTTTGTCAAATGATTTTGAACATGTTGTATGCTTTACAATATTCTTAGTATACATTTGTATTTTGTTTCTATATATATCTGCTACCGGTGTATATGTATGTATCTATGCGTGTGTATGTATGTATGTATGTAAGGATGGATGGATGTATATATAGGTGTTTGGGTATTTGTATGTTATATTCATTACTATTCACTGCCTACATAATGCACAACTATTGTGATTATTCTATTTACCCCTCCCCCTCTCGCCTTCTATTTTCTTTCAATGAAGTTCTTTCTCTTTTCTTTTTCTCTTTCATATAATAACTGAACAAAAACTCTAGTCAATTTTTTATTATGACCAAAAAAAATTATGCCTTTTTCATTCATTTTAAAATAAACAAAACAAAAAACTTATTGTTTATTTTGTTTGTTTGTTTGTTTGTTTGTTTGTTTGTTTGTTTTTGTTGACTCTTTTACAACTTGTATTTGATTTTTGAGCATTAAAAGTTCCCCCCCTTTTTTATAAAAAAAAATAGCTTACTGATTATTATTCAATGTATCATTGATGATGGCAGACACAGACACACACACACACACACACTAACACATGCTAAGCTATCTGTAAATTAATAATTGTTTTTATATATATTATAAATGTATTCAATGTTTCATTTGTGTTAAATACTGTACATGGATACAAAATTATTGATTGTTGAATGTCCTTTTTGTATGATAAATAATATTTTGTTTTGATACATGTCGACTTACTAACTTACTTACTAACTTACTTACTTACTTATTTATTTATTTATCTCTTTTTGTGTGTATAGATTTTCAGCTATGTGTTAAATTTTAGAAATCTTTATTATTATTATTATTATTATTATTATTATTATTATTATTATTATTATTATTATGGTATGTTTTTAATGTTCTCCTCTCTTTCCCTCTCCCTCTCTCTCTCTCTCTGTGTGTGTCTCCGTCTCCCTCTCTTTCTCTATTTGCTTACTAAATATCCTACTGTTTTTCTTTGGTGCTATTTTCTATTGTTTATGGAATAAGTTCTCTTTTCTTTTCTTGTTATTGTTTCAATTCTATCAACGAATGCTTCTTCTCATTCTTTTACTGTTATACTTTTTTCCACTTTAGAAAGATGCAAAATGAAATACTAATTATGTAATCTATCTAGGTGAATGAATATGTAATTTGTTGTGTTTTTTTTTGTTGTTGTTTTTTTGTTTTGGGAACTCATGTGTTGTTCAAAGGAATCAGTTCTGTAGATTGTTCTTTACCCCGGTTTTCTTATGCAAAAAAGAAAATAATAAAGGAAAGAAATATTTTCTCATACTTTCTATGCTAATTGTTCTTTTTTTTGTTTGTTTTGTTTTGTTTGGTTTGGTTTTGTTTCGTCTTTGTCTTGCTTGTTAGGTTTGTTATTCTAAGCTTCATAATAAGGATAACAACAGCAACAAATGAATTGTATTTTTGGCCAGTTAATGCCTATTTGTTTTCTGACAATTTTGTTTTTTTTTTAAAAAAAAAAATATAACCTCTCTAAGGAGATATGTTTGAAGTTTTCTTGTATCGACTTCTTTTTATGGGTATTTAATGATATAGTAATTAACCGATCATGGAGCCTGAAATAATCGAGTAAAGTAAAAGTAAATAAAGAGTGAACTGTTCATGTTTTTGTCGAGAAGTTCATGAATCTAGGTAGCTGCATAAGTGCTGGTGGTGGCATGAGTGATGAGATCAATGCATGTATAGTGAAAACCATAGTGGCTTCTGCCAATCTGAGCCATCTTTGGCGCCTTCGTGATGTTAGTCTGGCTGTAAAAGGTCGGACCTAAAACGCGTCGGTGAGAGCAGTTTTGCTCTATGCTTGTGAAACCTGGCCTCTCCGAGTTGAGGATGTTAGACAACTCTCTGTGTTCGATCATCGCTGTCTTATAGTATTGTTTCTCGGAGAACGTTAGCTTATTGAGTATAGAACTTGATCTCATATGGTTTAAATAGCATGTTCAAACTTCATTTCATTGATTTCGGTTTAAGCGACAGAGTAGTATCACTAGGTCTCAGGCATGTATTATACGCTTGAAGTTGGCCGCTGTACTTAGAAAATAAGTTACATCACTATGTAATATTCAGTAAATATCGTTCTGCTCTATGCTTATGAAACCTGGCCTCTCCGAGTTGAGGATGTTAGACAACTCTCTGTGTTCGATCATCGTTGTCTCCAAAGGATTGCTGACATCCAGTGGCAACAACATGTTAGTAATGCAGAGGTTCCGCGTCGTGTGTTCGGGCACATAGGCGATAATGTAATTAGTGTCACCATCTTGAAACATCGACTTCGGTGGCTTGGACATGTTCTACGAATGTCGTCCCAGAGAATTCCACGTCGTGAATTATTTGCCGAGGCTGGGACTAGTTGGAAAAAGCGGAGAGGTGGTCAGTATATGACATGGTGTCGTTGTATGAAAGAAAGCTGTAAAGGGCTGGCTTGTGTTGGTCCTTCACGACTCCCTTGCTGGGGTCCGAGAGATGGTGTAACACAGTGGCTAGAGACGTTATCAGATATGGCTCAGAATAGAAGCGAGTGGCGATCCTGCTGTAACCTTCTTTTACTTTCTTCATAAAAAGTAGTTGTATCTTCCTTAACTGAAAGATTTCTTCTGATTGTAGTTTTTCGTTTCCTCCATTATTACTACTATTATTTACCTTACACTAATCTGTTCGTTATTGTTTTTTTTCCTTCCCTTCTTTTCAAATTCTCATTGTTTTGTGTGGCGCATATATATTTGATGCCCCTTGTACCAATAATTATGTGTCCAAATAAATAGTGACATTCACCAGAAGAAACTTGAATATATAACAAAAACTATTTTTAAATTGTGGCTGGCAGTGGAATGTAGTTTGACACGTGTTTCATCCTATTTGGGACTCGTCAACTGGATATACCTGCATCGCTGAGTTGATGTTCACTCTGGGACTCGAACCCAGTACCGTTCGCTTTAAATGTCATCGCGTTATCCGTGTAGTTACTGAGTCCTGATAGCCACCTGGTTGTGCAATGGGGTGAAGTTACAAGTAAAACAACACCAAGTGTATTTTTGACTGTTCGCTACATAGGTGTTTACTTTTTACAAATTTGACCAGTCAATGATATTCTGAATGTTCTTAACTAATCCAGTTATCATGAATTTTAGATTGGTAATGATGATCTGGTTACAATCTTACTGCATCAACGTTTATGTATTCTTTTCTACAATAAGATGGTTTGCAAATAAAAGCATGTGTCAGTGTAGATGTTTTTGACTATTTGAGAAATCATCGAAAGAGTCAATAATTGACAACATATAGTAATACATATTTGGATGATCTATGTGTAAAGTACTATCCCGGTATCATACGGCGGAATTTCTTGTTCTTGACATAGTGAAATCCGAACAAGTTTAAGTATATAAGTTGTGACAAGTGAAAACCATACAATGGTGTTTGGTTGAATGGACGAATGGATTATTTGTAAAATTGAATACTGGTGAAGATCCTGTCAGGCAAATAGTGCATCCGTCATCTCAAGGAGCCCATTTAGAAAGTCCAAAAACCAAAATAAACTCACTCAAACTAGATATAGGCTTGTCTCACTTCAAACAAACAATCTCAGATGCCTCAAGGATCAGTAACATTATTCTGCGTTATAGATCCATTTATGAAAAACCTAACCAATGCCTTGAAACTTGATATAGACTTGTTAAATCTATCGAAAATTATTCGAAAGACCTATCGATCTTGAAACTTTAACCCCTATGATACTAGGCTAAAAGCATTCAATTACAGACCGAATTTTTAGCGTTTACTATTAATGAAGTTCTTGCTAGCTGATAAGATTTATTTCCATGACTACCTACTTTGGATTTCTGTTCTAACCGATCTCAATCTTGATCTACTTTCAGATAAACATTTAGAATTAGTCTGTCAACATCTTAACATAAACAGTGGTATAAGTTTTCTGCACACAGAAATCATCTAGGTATGTTCGGAACAATTGGGACTATTCGAGGCAGTCTTAATTTGATATCCCTGTAAAGTGGTTACGAGACTACCGCTTCATACTAAAGCCTACAAATGTTTTGGTACAGCCGAGGGTGGGGGGAGTCAGCTCTCCCTCTCGAAATGCTCTCACAAGACCACGCGTATACAGTCACTACCAAGGGAGTCCTACTCACTGCCTTCTTGTAGTATTACTGTTGTTTACGAAATTCAGAGGACAAAAACTGAATGTCCGGCGCTCTAACCAGGTTAATAGACACGGAGGATCTATCTAGGTGGAGTTGGAAAACCCTGATTCCAAACCATTGGTGCTCATGGGCTTCAGGATCCTGAGGGAACAAATAGAATATAGTGTCAGTTACCATGTTAAGCCCTTATTCTAGCTTCTGCCAAAACTAATTTATCCATTCTTCCTGAGTCACGTTTTGACCTTCTTAACTATGCACTTATCAACCCTGACTTTTTATATGAACGTATGTGCGTGCACCTATTATCCTATTCATCACATGTCTTTAACATAGTTTTGTGTGACTACAAATATTGATCAACGCTTGATTAAATGGAGTTGGCCCAAGTGCCTTCTCTACCACTCATTGTTTTGCTTTGCTTCACTTTCTGTTCTTTCGCTACGTCCCTCTGATTGTCTGTCCAGATCAGTGAGTATTGAAAAAATATATATTCAAAATTCTGTTCTCGTATTTGACGCATTTTATTCCGTTATTCACCAGAGGGATTTAAGTTGATGATTATATACGAGGATTGACGATATATATATTTCGACAGCGATTATTCATTCAATCCAATTGAGGTCAGATATATGGCCACAAAGGTGGTAAGCCCGTCGACGAACCTAACGCAGCAAGCTACGTCAATGAGGAAACTTTCGCACTCTATATGTTTGACGAACACCGAGAAGCTAGCTCAATCTCTAATCCGATGCACTCCGCAAAGCCTGTGCAGCACGACATGAATATGATCAAATAGTATTATCTTATCAATATTTTGTCTTCATATCAGCCCTTCTCACTGGTTCATCTGGCGGATAGTTTTATGATTAGAATAACTATCATAGTTCCATTATCAAATTAATTTCACTTTATCACCTAACGTGGAATTATTCGTTTTGTTCGTGCTGACATTAAATTATGACATTTTCGCAATCATATCACTTACTAAACAAATTTTAACTTTATAAACGCTCCACGCTATAATATTCAAAACTAACTAAACTATTTTTATCATTCAAAAACGTAAACATTTCCTGTTTTAAGAGAGTTCGTTCTATTTTTCTCATGTCATTTTTGGCTTATTATTGCACTCAATCACTTAGTCGAGGTCATTTTCATGCTATCGTACCACACATTTTTCATTTCTATATTGCCTTCTATTGTGT